AGGTGTCGTCCCGAATGACATTAGTGGTAGTGGTGTTGGTGATAACGGGGGCGTGGTGATGATGGCAGCGGCGGAGGTTGCGGCGCGTTCGGTGGCGTAACGCGTGGCTGCGCACGTGCATGTGAACTGGCCGTCCTCCAAGTGGCGCGTGGCGCGAGCTCCCACTCGCGGGCGCCTCCCGCGGAGTGCAGCGAACGGCGCTCTTGGGACCGTCATGGGCCACAACACGACGCACTGTGCAAGGAAATCGCCATCCACGCTCGGCCCAAAACCGAAAAGCACGCTTAGCATCCAAGGCCGCTTACTACTTACGCGCCTTATGGAAAATACTGTCGAGGGCGGAATTAACATACCGAGTCTGTACTCCATGGACTATTTTAGCCAATAAAACATCTACAGATACACCGCTGGCAATCAGCAGTTGCGACAATATATTCCAATAAGATGAGCCACAAGGGATTAGCTCAGTCTTTCACCGCCCGATGGATGCTTTCTTCTCTTGATTCAAATGACGAAATACAGTGTAACAACCAAACATTAACGAACTTGTAAGAAATGTAACGAGAGTTATATTTGCGTTATTAAATTGTACCCCAAAAAGAAATATATTATCTCCAATTTAACTCTGCTTTCCTTTTCTTCTCCTTCCTCAGCCCCGTCAAAGGAAGCGCGTGGAGCGGGTGTCGAGGAGGTCCCAGTGGGCAACCACTCACCTTGCGAACGGACACCCGCAGGATGCAGGGGTCCAGCACGCCCGTGCTGGCGTTGGCGGACATCTTGCACACGAACTGGAAGTGCGCGCCCCACCGCACCGCGTGCTCCTGCACCCACTCCCTGCAACACACGCACGCCGCTATTGCACATCTCTACACAACACAAGCAACACATCAAAACACATACCGTAATACTTCTAAATTGTGTTGGCCACATTTCTGCATTAGTTTGACATTAGGATGGAAGAGCCAAAGCATTATTGCCAAATTTGGAATTAATAAATAAAATGATGATGTAACGCTACGAGCGTTGTATCGAAGTCGAGAGGCAGAAACGGTTAATAAAAAGTTTCAGGTACTCCCTCACAACTGTACAGGAGTTGAATTCTTAAAGTCAATAAAAAAAGAAAAACCTTCAGTATTAGCAGAAAAGCATCAAGAGATCTAAGTTTTCGAAGTAAATACTATACCCCACTAGCTTTTGAAATAAACTTTCACTTTCGAATTTTTTTCTTCGCCTAACAACAGAGGATTCTCCCAGGCATCGACGAAAAGAATAACGCCATTAGCAAGGATCATCGCGATGGCGACGCTTCGATTGCAACAAGAGCGCTGAGCCGGAAACGAAAACCAGTTCTCAGGAGAAGATATCGCAGAAGGATATTTCCTGCGGAACACGCGTGGGAAGTGAATAATTACATGGGAATTCGTGTTATATAAGCGCTCCAATCAATGTAATTCAAACTGCATTGCAGGCACGTGCAGCAGAAATAGTACAGAATAAATCTCAGAATGTTGACCGGCCACAGCCATGAAGTGAAATTACCTGCTTTCCATGATAAGGACAATATCGCTCTAAAAGTACTAACTATTTTCACCGCTGCAAACGGATTAATGATACATAAATGATCAACAATGTATTCAGTAAACAGACCTATTCTCGCAGAGGGGGGGGTCTAATAATCCCAATTAACTTCCATTCACAACTTTGTACTTAACGACATCGCTGCTCCCCAAAACGTAGATGCTAAATATAATTAAATAACAGACACGAGTTTTGGTACGTTCGAGATATTTGTACAGACAATATCGAATGTCGTGAACTCTGAGTCACACGGAGCAAACTAAGAGTTTCGTAAGGTCCAGATTCTGTCCAGACGGAACACAGAAAAGTGGGTCAGATTGAAATCTGGTTTTGAATCATCTGTTGCTGCAAGGTCAAGTTATAATGTAATTCAGTATTTACAAAGTACTTACCAACATCGTCAATATAAACATTATACATACATTGATGCCAATGGGACAGGGAAATTCAATTTTACGACTGCGTTGAGTCATTTCCACCCACCTGAAGGTGTCAAGAGGTTTTATAAAACATCATAACGTAAGTACTGTTAATTTGAGAATAATGTACAAAATCAATGCTCGTATTTCTTACGATTTGTTTATTATTATTATTATTATTATTATTATTATTACAATATTATTATTACAATATTATTATTACAATATTATTATTACAATATTATTATTATTATTATTATTATTCCCGATGAATGACAGCATTAGCGAAGATGACTCCCATATCCACAACGGCTGCTTATAAACCTGACAATCGTGGGTTCAAATCTCAACACAAGTATTTTGAACAGCAAGGGCAGATGAGCCTAGGGACGTCACTAGTTCGAATTCACTTTACGAATTTTTCGTAGCCGACATGCAGTGGCTTCAACCGATAAATTTCGTCATGAGCCATGATTCGTGTGCTACCTTCCCATTCCTAATCCGACGATCACGTTTCGCAAAGTCCGACCGCTCGCACACGCTCCCACTCAAAGTGAATTCATCAGTTCGGTCAGATTGCGTCGATACGCGCGCCCTTCGCACAGTATGTGCTTCAGTTACTTCGCGCCGGTCAAGCTGGTACTAAATGAGCTTCCAAACAAATCAACACAATTAGACAAATTACGGTAGTACACTTTAAACTTTCTCAATTACGTGTCGTTGTAACATGAACTTGTACGGAAGTTTATATTTAAATCACGAAAAGTGGAGAACATATGGCTACCATCCCTAACGTGACAACAGATCAAGAAAGAACATAATTGCGAAGCCCACGCCGAGGCAGAAGAAGAATAATAGGACCACTTTCGCCGCCATTCGCTTTTCCCGAGTTGCCTTAGCAGAATGAATAAACACGAATGCAAAAAAGAAGTTTAACATGGAAATGTGATCCCAAAGTTCAATTTTCTTTACGAGCCCGTTTCTTCCACACCATAATAAATGTTCGACTTTTTAAGTTCTTGCACCTGCAACACTAACATTTCATCTCAAAAAACAATTTCGAAAAACAGCAAATTTCTAGATAAGTCAAGAAAGATAAATGTTTTTTATTATTGTAAAAGTTTAATTATATTTTAGAAGACAGAGTACAAAGAAAACCACTGGTCGTAGCCGCGAGACATAAGACTGCGCGACTAAAACGGCTCTCCCGTAAAATGGCAGGTGCCAATCTTTAGCACCGAAGATTTTTGACGTTTAATGAACCACAATCACTGTAGTCGTTATTTCGCTTTTACCGAATCACCCATTTCAGAGGCTCAACACGTGTGACGCAACCGCCTCCTCGCACAACCCACGCGCGCCACCTGCGAATGCTCCGCGCCTGCGCCCAGCGCCCACCGCCGCAATGGATCCTCACAGCCCCAAGGTCAGGGCGCCAGATAAGCGCTGCCAGATTCCATTGCGTGTGGCATTGCGACACCCGCCACCCCCACCCAGTCGCTTTCCCCGGCGCGAGCGCCCACACAATAGCCGAGGCCGCACCAGCACGGGCTCCGCTCATCAGCAGTGCACACACACACACACACACACACACACAGGCGGCTGCTCGCTCAGACCTCGCGCGCGCCTGCGCACTACGCAACACGTCCCACATGACAATAATAGGAATAATAACATCATTATTATAGTACACCGTCATCAACGGGCCGAACCGTAAATCTTCATGTTCTCCGATTACTGTGGTCCCTCGCCACAACCAAAGTTTTATTCGTGCTAATGACTGATTTAATGACTTAATTTAATAACTAATTTACTGCATTATTATTATTATGTGTTTGAATGCCCGTTCTCTAATCGCCTGGTAGAAGCCACCATCACAATATAAATGTAACAACAGCAGATAATACGAAACAACAATATCTACTCTATGGCTTCTGGCTTGCCGTACGAAGTCTTCCCTAGGCAGCGCTCCGAGTGGCCCCGGAAGGGAAGAGAGCAGATGAGGGGGAGGCAGAGCGCGGTGTCCCACGCGCGTTTTGTCGTCGCTTTGCTCTGACATTCGCCTCACACGGAGAAGAAGAAATCACAGTCGATATTCGAACCCAGTCCTTCCCCGTCCACGACGCTTCAGAAGTGGACTCGCAATTACGCATGCACACACATGCACAAAAAGGATACAAATAATGTAAATAATAGCAAAGTATCATAATCATTATTATTTCAATTATAAAACGTATAAAAATTGGGAGATGGTTCAATACAAAAGAAAGAGGTTCCCATAACATGCCAGTGAAAACTGGCATACTCTTAACAGCCGATCTGTTACAAGGGAAAGTTACATTAGGAGGGTTCTGCGAATCAGTAGTATGCAAACGATTTGCTTTACACATTTCCGCGGCAATTTATTTTGACAAACATGTTCAGGTCCTCCTATTTATGATAATGAGCATCCAAGAAATAAGAAACACGAAAAGAAATGGAAATTATGCCTATCAATACGTCGTTCTCATTCCAGTCTTTAGTTCTTCACATCATTGAAATGAAAGTAGAAAGATATGTAATCACAGCAAACTATAGGAATGAGCCAAAATCTCACTCTTGGTTATTATATAACATTAAATTCCAGTCATTTGCCGAACTTTTTTCTCTCAGAGTGAAAGTAGATAACTTAATTAAGACCTGAACTCTGAAACTGAAAATATCGCTACCGATTTCATTGCAATATAAACGACGTATATTATAGCTAGGGAGTGAGAGCACTCTTCAAAGTACAGAATTTTATCGTTCCCAGTAAGCTGCTTTAATTTGGGAAAGCTAAATTTAAAACACAGAATCGCTGGCAGTAGACCTTGTCCGACAGCCCTTGACCGGATTTTAGCCGATAAAGCTTAGCCTTTCAATTGCACTCGACACAAAGCGATATTATGTGGGATTTGAAATGAAACTACAACAAACACGGACAGCAGTTCATTACAAAACTGGTCTCTTGTAACCTAAATATGCTCCACATGTGAAGAATTGACGTGTGAGAATATTCTCATTGGAATATCACAAGCAAAAACGTTATTCTGTGCTGAAGAATCACACGCGCGCACGCTCGCTCGCACGCACACATACACACCACACACACACAATGTCCAAAGTTAGAGACTCGAACCCGACTCTTTGAACCGAAATTGAATGGAAAAAGCTTTGGTGACCTTGTACGTCCAGGCAGAAGTCATCCTGGAACAGGTTTGAGGAAAAAAGCCTACCACCGAAGGCGAAGCCCATTTTTAGGATGACGGAAGAGTGAATGACGTTTCCCCTCGGGAGAACCAGCTGTTGTAACATTTTATGAAATGTTTTCGTAATATAATGCACATTGAAATAACTCGTACTATTTGAGAAAATACAATTCATGCCACCGTAGGCGGTAGAAAATGCACATACACCACACGAGGGGACCTTTTCGCACCTGCATCTCGAATTTTATATGCCCTGCGCAACAAATAGAGCCGGTCCGAATGGCCGAGATCGTCAAGGCAGTGCCGTAGGATCGCGGGTTCGAGTCCCGCCTTGGGCATGGCTGTATGCGTTTGTTCTTTCACCCCTATGATCACCATGCCATGCCATCTTCACAGTTACCATACCGTTAAATGTAATAGCGATCGCTAATGCCCTTAAATAATCTCCCTCCATGTACAAGCCCCCTGATCGGCATCGAGTTGGATGGACCGAGGCGGATGTTCCGGGCGAGGAGCCGGGCGCGCCAAGGCCGGCCGGGGACACGTTCCGCCAGCCAGGGCCGAGGACTCCCGGCCGCCCGCCTAACAGACCGTCACACCGAAGGTTCCC